GGCATTTTTTCTTATATATGTCATCAATACATACAATAAATAATATCAGAAAGAGATAGTTATATCATCATCCTACATCCTCCGCTGTCATCTGTTGCCTGATTTCACAGATTCATGTGGAAACAGAATAGACGTATAAAATGAAGACACCTCTTGGACCAAAAATACATCAAACCATCCACCCTTAGCATTTTTAGATGGACCCATGAAATGGATGCACTGTGCCAGCTCAATGCAACATGGTTAGAGTAATAAGTGGGAAGAGATAGATACTAGTAAGGAAGAGAAGAATAATAGTAATACAGTCTTAGTAAATTATTTGACAGTGTTGTGGGAATTAGTTGTTAAGCAGAGTGATGGCATTCGGGAAAAAACTGTCCTTGTGTCTAGTTGTTCTGGTGTGCAGTGTTGTTTTGAGGGTAGGAGTTGAAAGAGTTTATGTCCAGGATGTGAGGAGTCTGTAGATATTTTCACAGCCCTGTTTTTGACTCGTGCAGTATACAGGTCCTCAATGGAAGGCAGGTTGGTAGTAATAGTTTTTTTTTTATTTATTAAACTTACATGCCACCCATCCTATCTCTCCAAAGGTGACTTTAGATGGAATTACTTTGGTTTCATGACAGTGCAGGGCAAACTAAAGCCTTCCTGGAAAAATACCGATTCTTGATGAATGTATCTTTTCTTTTTATGTACACTGAGAGTGTATGCACCAAGACAAATTCCTTGTGTGTCCAATCACACTTGGCCAATAAAAAATTCTATTCTATTCTATATGAATTTAGGAAGGAATGTGGAGAAATAGGGAAAATAATGACAAATTGTTCTGGGAGGAAGCTTCAGGTGTTCATGCCACAAAGGAAGAAAGAGAAAGAGTCAAAGCCATAGAAAGTTGGAAAAGAAAGAATCCCGAGCATTAGGCCTATTTAAGTCTTCATAAATGATATCCTGAGCTTTAATGGCATATTATTTAAATAGAAAAAATCCAAACCTATAGATGGAACCAGTTGTTGTTATACTGGCAGCAACAATTGCCTGAGGCTAATCCAATCAATGTCTATCTAAGGTCTTTAGAAAAATATCTCTGGCATTGACATTTTCACTCTAACCCTTTATGGCTACAGTTTTCCCATGTTCCCTATCCACCAATGCATATTCCAGAATGTGATATATATACAATATAATGGAGAGAGGAAATTGAAAGAGAAAGAGGGTCTCTTTGCCCTATTGGTATTAGATTATTTGTGTAGAGTAGAAAATATGAAATAAAATTAAATTTAAAAAAGCAGTTTCCTCAACTGCTTTAAAGGAATAGAGAGATCCATCAGGATATGTAATTTCACCTTCTTGCCTTCATTTCTTCTGCAGGAGAATCCCCCAATGCAGCTTGGCTTGTAGCTTTATTGCTGCTGCTATTTATTACTCTAAAACAGAGGTCACCAACCTTTTGGACCTCAGGGACCACTAAATTCATAATTTTAAATCCTGCGGACCACTAATATGATCTGCCTAATGACCAACTGGGTGAGCGTGGCTAGGTGGTCATGTGACTGAGTGGGTATGGCCAACTCAATGTCACTCATGTCAAGGGGTACCTCGCCAGCCTCTACTCACCCCTCCTCTCCCAGCCACTCCTCGCCTTCCCGCCTGGGCTCCAACAGGAAGCAGTTGTTGGAGCTAAGCAACCACCATGAGAAAGAGTTGGTAAACAGCTCAGTTCAAATTGGATCTGATGGAGAAGGAAGCTCAGTAGAAGCACCTCACTGAGGACTACGAGCATAGGCTTTCCAAGCAGAGGGAAGATCTGCGAGAGAGCAAGGCCAGGCGCCTGGAGGCTTAGATGGTCAGCCAGTTCCAGGCCATGATGCTGTCCCTCTGGAATAAGGTCCTCCGGCTCTTCGCCACTAGCGGTGCTTCCCTCCAGCCTTCACCCAAAGCCCCGCACCAGGCGGCCGAATCAGACTCCAAGTTGGAATTTTTGCCCCCTCCGACCAACACAAAAAGACCCCGAAGGGGAGGACTCTCTGCAGCAACACATATCTGTCCCAGGGGCTGTAGCTTGAGGACCCCTGATTTAATGCAATATAAAAAATGCAAATAATTTTTCTGCAGACCACCAAAATTTTCTTGCGAACCATCAGTGGTCCACAGACAACCAGTTGGTGAACACTGCTCTAAAACATGTATACATACCATAGTCAACCTATGTTTGTGACAGTACCAATTTTGTGCTGGTCTTCCTATTTTTTTAATATGAAAAAAAAAAGGAATTTTCATACCAATTCCTTGTTCCAAATACCAATTTAATACTGGACTCCTTGGTGCTCACTAAGCTTGGCTGTTCACTTGCAGTCATTTCATTACTCAGTTAGTAACATCATCAGTGTGATGGACTGTAGGGTTTGCTTCTTGTTTTTATACCATAGCTTGGGGAAGAAGAAAACAATCCACCATCCTTCCTGGATATCCTCATCAGTGGAGGAAATAATTGAACGTGAGAAATACAAGTCTATTGAAAAATGGTCCACATTAACTAAGTGCTCCATTAGCAAAACAACAACCCAGCATTTACAACAACTTCCAAAAAATGGATATCCATGCATCTTCATTAAAAGGTGCCTGATCATTCAACCCATTACAGCAGAGTCAACACAAACTGAAAAAAGGAAAGCATGGCCATTCAACGAAAACATCTCAGAAACAACCAATAGAACAGTGATGGCTAACCTTTTCCGGACTGAGTGGCCAAAGTGTGCATGCGCGAACCCCCAAAATGCAATGCATGTGTGGCCCCCACGCATGTGCCCTGTCCTCATGCATGTGTGCACAGCCCCCTGCACGTGCCATGCCACTCTCATGCATGTGTGCAAACACCCGCACACGCCCTGCACATGCATGCACAGCCCCCCGCATGTGCCCCACCCACTGCGCATCCATGGCAGAGACCCGATGACCATCTGGCTGGTGACAGGCACGTGTGCATGCACGGTGGAGCTGAACTGGAGCGACGGCTCGCGTGCCCACAGAGAAGGCGTGGGTTTGCCATCATGGCAATAGACTATTACAAAAACACAAGATCACCACATCATACAAACCAACCAAACCCCTCCAAAACGTCTTCAGTAAATCAAAAGACCATGTAGCTTAAGGGAAGGGGAGAGAAACAGAAGCCATCTATAACACACAGTGTAAGGATTGTAACAGCCACTGTGTAGGACAGAGAATCAGAACAGCAGCAGAGTGCATCCATGAATACCAACTAGCAGTCAGACAACATGATAAAAACACATGGTTTCAACTGAGAACTTTGACCAAGCTAAATGCAAAAACGTTGAGGAATTCCTGGAAGCTTGACATTTAGACAAACCAGCCATCAATAGACAAATAGAGATAAACCATATTTGCACACCATTCCAGAGACGCCAAAAAAGCTAAAAAGGAAAAAAAAAAAAGATCAGAATGCATCATCTTCAGCAACCAACACCGAGATAAGCAGGGATTAACACCTGACAAATGACCAAGCAGAAAACTAAGGAACTACCATGGAGAAACCCACACACCTCGCAACATTGGCTGAGCAAGTTACTGTATATAAAGAGGGAGCAATCCCTACATTCTAGTAATGAAATGTTTGCAAGCAAACAAGGTCAGAGAGAACCAAGGATACCACAGCTGAACCCTGAGCTATATACAGTATACTCCCCCTCTATTGGAACCAGTTAAATATGAATTTCTTTTACCAAGTGCATTTTGCATATTAAACTGGACGTATTAATTGATTCAGAATGCTCCTTCCAATTTAGACCTTCAACTGTGCCAAAAGAAGAGAATAACTTATTATTTTCATGGCATGTGAAATAAGCACAGGTACTAAAACCATCAAGCTAAGAACCAGATTTCTTACACATGTACGGAAATTTATAACTTTGACAAGAGTTCATAACTTTTAAATGAGTGATTATGAATTAATGCATAGGAAAAGGGAGCATGTTCCAGAGACCAATAATTTTGATGCATTATATTCCCTGTCTTCCAGGATGACTATAATAATAAGGAATTGATTTGCTTGGCCTTCTTCAGACTAGTGAAGGATCTAACCTCTTCTTTTCCTCATTCTCCCTACTAGAGAATCACAGACACTTCCAGTTAACAAATTCTTCTGAGATTTTTTTTTTTTAATTGATTTTTATGCCGCCCTTCTCCGGAGACTCAGGGCGACTTTCAATGCGTTAAGCAATAGCCTTCATACTTTTGTATATTTATACAAAGTCAGCTTATTGCCCCCACAAACTGGGTCCTCATTTAACCTACCTTAGAAAGGATGGAAGGCTGAGTCAACCTTGAGCCTGGTGAGATTTGAATTTACAGTAATTGCAGACAGCTGGTGTTAGTCTGCTGAGCTAAACTTTTAGCTCTTTAGTCTGCTGAGCTAAACCAGGCTCATTAAAGCACACTGTGGCCCCAGCTATCATTAAGATGTTAAACTTGCCTGGTTGTGTGAATGTAACAAGTTGAAGTGGGGTGGGAATCGTTTTATCAAAAGAAAGTATGTAACTCATGATAGCGATAATAATAACAATCATATAGGAACAATATTTTATTCCCATCTTTCAGATGTAAAACCAGTTCAAAAAACCACCACTTCTTCCCGACTCACAACCTATGTTCCTTTCCATTATAAAAGTAAAGGCTTCCCTGTCCAGTTGTGTCTGACTCTAGGCAGGGCATGATGCTCATTTCCATTTCTTGGCCGAAGGAGCCAGCATTGTCCGAAGACAATATATGCAGTCATGTGGCCAGCAAGGTTATATGCCAAAGGTGCACAGAATGCTGTAACTTTCCCACCTAAGCAGTACCTATTTATCTACTCGCATTTGCATGCTTTTGAACTGCTAGGTGAGCAGGAGCTGGGGCACAGAATGGGAACTCACCCCATTTCATGAAGCTCGGGTCTCGAACCCAGGCTGTCAGCTCTCTGGCTGACAAACTCAACGTCTTTAATTGCTGAGCCATTGTACTCTCAGGTGATCACTTTTGAGTGCAATCAATTTCTCTAATTAGATACTATAGAAATGAACCCTGCAAGTATAGTCTTTCCACTATCTTTGAATGATTCTTGTATGCTTCTGTATTCTAGACTGCTGCACCACTCCTTTGATAATAGAAATTTGGTTCTGTTTATTTTTATTTATTTTTTAAATTTCTAACCTGTAGCTCTCACCAGTGGTGGGATTCAACTGGTCTGCACCACTTCAGCTGAACCGGTTGTTAATTTTTTTTTTTTTATTTGATTTATATGCCGCCCTTCTCCGGAGACTCAGGGCAGCTTACAATGTGTTAAGCAATAGCCTTCATACTTTTGTATATTTTTACAAAGTCAGCTTATTGCCCCCACAAACTGGGTCCTCAATTTACCTACCTTAGAAAGGATGGAAGGCTGAGCCTGGCAAGATTCGAATTTACTAATTGCAGACAGCTGGAGTTAAATTACAATGCATTAGTCTGCAGAGCTATCCAGGCTCCTTGCTTGCTGGCCCCCGCCCTCCCTGCCCCACCCTTCCAGAAGTCCCCACACGTCCCATTTTTGCTCCCAGGGGGCTGCAGGGAGGCCTACTAGGCCCAAAATGGGCTGTGGGAGGGGGGGTGCAGCGTGCCCCCCGTGGCCCATTTTTGCTCCCAGGGGGATGCAGGAGGCCAAGGGCTGCCTGTCACACCTCCTGGCCACACCCACCCATGGCCACACCCACCCAGCCGGTCATTAGGGCAGAGAACCGGTTGTTAAATTATTTGAATCCCACCACTACATCTCACCGAAGTGATTCTAGGCTCTTTGCAAGAGATGCCAATTTATTTATAAAACCATATAGATACATGAATAAAAGCACAGCATAAAATGGTAGTCTTCCTTTCATTTGACGAATTGAAGCAACAGCAAGTCAATAATCTCTCTGGGATGGTTTCACTGGAATACCTTCGTGAGAAGGAGGTTGGATGAATTCCATGACTTAGTGAAAAATTTAGCACGATCAAGACGTTGACTTTGCTAAATGTCTATGGAGATTGTCAATCATCCAGGTCACGGTTGTCTCAAAGGTGCTTTTTCAAATGGCAACTGGACTTCCTTGTTTTTTCTCGAAGATGTTTCGCTTCTCATCCAAGAAGCTTCTTCAGTTCTGACTGGCTGGTGGGGAATGGAAGGATTTATATTCCTTATTATATTCTCAGTTTTACCAAATGAAGACAAATTCAGATGCACGGCTCAACAAATCAATAGGAAAGCAAACCAAAACAACCATTTTCCAAAGCACTCATCACTTCCTTTGAGAATGGGCTTAGGTAACTGATTGCCAATAGGATTGGAAAATAAACAGAAACAAACAAGAAGAAAATTCCACGCTTGTTTCTGAAGTACAGAAACAGGGCAAATCAACTCAACAAGGGAATGTGATGCTCAGAGGCTTTGGGAACTTGTAACTACTTCTTCTTCTTCTTCTTCTTCTTCTTCTTCTTCTTCTTCTTCTTCTTTCTTCTTCTTCTTCTTCTTCTTCTTCTTCTTCTTCTTCTTCTTCTTCTTCTTCTTCTTCTTCTTTCTTCTTTTCTTCTCCTTCTTCTTCTTCTCCTCCTCCTCCTCCTCCTCCTCCTCCTTCCATATCCGTCATCGGACATTGGCAATCATGTTGGTGATCCTATTTTTATCAACTGCCACACAAAAAAGTGCTGCTGAGTTTTGTACACACCAATCTCTTAGATTTTGAAGCCATGATGTCCTTCTTCTGCCTGGACCTCATTTGCCTTCAATCTTTCCCTGGAGGATTAAGTGAAGGATGCCGTATTTTTCCGGGTGTCGCATCACATGTCCAAAATATTCTAACTTTCGCTTTTTAATAGTTTTGATGATTTCCCTTGGCTTTCCCAGGCGGCTTATCACCTCCTCATTTCTGATTTTGTCAACCCAGCTTATACACTACAGCCATCTGTAAATCCACATTTCAAATGCTTCAAGTGGTTTTCTGTCAGAGACCAACTCTCCACTCTGTAGAGCAGGATAGAAGAGATGTAACATCTGACAAGCTTCATTTTCAATTTTAGGCTTATATCATGACTGCAGAAGACCTTTTTCATTTTGAAAACTTGGTAACAGAATAGCAAAATATAATGGACAACTGAGGAAGTCAAGATTCCTCAGTTTAGAGCATCCTGTTAGAGAACAGAAACCTTGCAAGATTTTCTTGGTGGTTTTAGTTGCAAAAAAAAGGGATTTAGAAAGAGTCCACTTGACTTCACTCCTTGGGTGTTTTTTTTAGGGGTTTTTTTTTTGTTTGGTTTTTTTTTTTTTGCTGCCAGTGGGATGTCACTTTACACCAGAAAACATCAATATTTGATCTTTGTCTTGCAAAACAGGTATATCTCCAAGGAACCTTGGTGGCACAGTGGACTAAAGTGCTGTTAAGTAGCACTTAGCTGCCAGCTGCCTGCAATTACTGCAAGTTCAAATCTCACCAGGCTCAAGGTTGACTCAGCCTTCCATCCTTCCGAGGTAGGTAAAATGAGGACCTGGATTGTGGGGGCAATAAGCTGACTTTGTATTAAAAAAAACACCTCTTGAGGGGGTGGGGCGAAAGCCCTACTAAGCAGGTATATACAAAAGTATGAAGGCTATTGCTTAACGCATTGTAAGCTGCCCTGAGTCTCTGGAGACTACGAGACCGTCTTTTGCCACCAATAGCCTCCCACCGACCAGTTCGTTCTCACAGGGAGGGACTACTCAGGGTACCGTCAGTCAAATTATGCCGACTGGCGACTCCCAGGGGGAGGGCCTTCTCTGTGAGGGCACCAACCCTTTGGAATGAACTGCCCCCGGAGATACGAAATATCCCTGATCTCTGTGCTTTCTGCCGTGTCCTCAAGACCTTGATGTTCCAACAGGCAGGGCTAAACATATGAACATGTGAATGATTTTTTAAAATGTTATCTAATTTTGGGTTTTATTTAATTGGCCAAACTAAGTAATAATTTTAATTAGCAATTTTATGATGTTTGTGTGTCTATATTTTTCTTGGCTGTACACCACCTTGAGTCCTACGGGAGAAAGGCGGTATAGAAATATAATTAATAAATAACTAATAATAAATATAAATCGAACCAATAAATAAATAAATAATAAAGAGAAAAACAGGATATGAAATCTTTTTCTGGAAAAGCCTGATTAAGGTTGCGTTTACACAGGCGACCACTTCACCTGCCAGCAGGGTGAAATGCTACCACCCAAAGCAAATGTTGTTTCCTCTGAAGCCACTGCTCAAGCCAGAGCTGAAAAGAAAGAATGGACAGTAGGTCTTTTGAGGAAGTGAGGCGTGGGAACGTCTTTCCTCTTTATTCTACAGCACTGGATTTTTGTTTCTGAGACTTTTCTTCTTGCTTCAGTTTTAACCAAATAATCCATAAATGGCTGTTTTTTTTGTTTTGTTTGGGAACCTAAAACAGAGGAATCGGGCCAAAAAAACAAACAAACCACGTTTTGGCCTTTCAAATTGTTAAATTTTCCCTACCAAGAGCCTTTGTAGTACAGTGATCTAAAGCACCCTGTTATTAAGACCAGCTGCCTGCAATTACTGCAGGTTCGAATCTCGCCAGGCTCAAGGTTGACTCAGCCTTCCATCCTTTCTAAGGTAGGTAAATTGAGGACCCAGTTTGTGGGGGCAATAAACTGACTTTGTATAAATATACAAAAGTATGAAGGCTATTGCTTAACGCATTGTAAGCCGCCCTGAGTCTCCGGAGAAGGGAGGCATATAAATCAAATAATAATAATAAAAAAGATGTCTAAGTAAACGAAACCAGCAGTAACCTGCGTGGCTTCTGGATGTTGTTCCTTGTTTGTTTGTTTGCTCTTGTGTTTAAAGTCCACTTACCGTGTTCTACGTTATTTGGAGGTCACTTCATTTTGATCACTAGAGGGTAGCATTGGGCTTTTTCATAGATGTTTGTTGTCTACTATTCAGGCGAATGCTTTGGGCAGTACTTCCTGGAAAGAGGAACCTTCATTATGTGTTTCTACCTAGCTGTAAATAGAGGTGAAATTTATTTTTTTTATTAAAAAAATGAAGAGAAGTTTGGTAACAGAGTTAGACTCAAAAAGCCTGAATCAAATGTAGGGGGGGGAAAATCCATCATCTATTTAACTTATTTATGCACAGACCTCTCCGTTTATTTTCCATCACCGTGAAGCGGATGCCGCAGTTAGATCTCTATTTTCGAGGGTTGCAAAAAAAAAAAGTGACCTTAGTATCCCGTATTAATATTTAATCAACTCCTTGCTTAGGCCTTGCAAGCAATTCCCTGAAAATTAATTAGCTCCGAAGATCCTTGTCCTTTAATGGGATTGTAATCCCCTTTTGAAAATTCAGATGAGGTAATCTGTAGCGACGAATCTTGGTTGCTTGTAATTCTGACACTTTCCCGGCAGCTGTTGGAAAGCAAAAGGTTGCAAATTTGCTCTTGAAAAGAAAAAGGAGAAGAAGATTGGTTTCGCCTGTCCTCCTGTCCTTTGCCTTTTCAGATTGTCCTTTCTGTTGCTTAAATCTGACAGCAAATGTTGCCCTACCCCCACCTCCCACTCCAGCAAATTACACAATTCTTCGGGGACTTTTCTTCACAAGGAATGGCCTTGTTACAGGGACACCAAAAGAGACTTTCTCTATTTGACAGCCCTGAGGTAGAGGCAAGAGAGATTCAGTAGAGTTTCCAAAATATGGTCTGGGTTTCTCTAAAAATTGCACCTTAGATGGCAGCGATTTCTTTTCTCGTTAAATTGTTAAAAGTAAATGAACCATTCATTCATTCATTCATTCATTCATTCATTCATTCATTCATTCATTCAGTATTCATCCTTGCCAAACAACTCTGGTGGTTACCAACTTAAAAATATATATATATACATAGTCAAAATATAACCATTCCTGTTGGAGCAGAAACAGAGTTAACATTACTGATATCAATGCTTTTAATGTGGTTATGGAGCCTATTTCTACTGCCTTCTTTCAGCTGCTCTGAGATATTGTAGAAACAGGAGACGAAGTCTGCTAATTCAGAGGA